TCATATTTTCATATTTCTTAACTTTAAAAATTTCTAAACTTTATATTGTTCTCATTTACTATTTTTTTTCTAAATTAGACTACTATATTTCTACATCAAAATTTTGGTAAGTCCTAAAGAAACTCATATACATAATCTACTTATACTGGTTTTAAAGATTTAAGGGTCACTAGAGAACAACTAATATCTTAAGTTTGGGGGATTTTGATACACCTAAAATTTATAATTGTTTTATACACATTTTAATACATATTTTTTGATTTTGCGCTTCAATGAAATATATTTGTGTGTTTTTCTTTCAGGTACAATCAAATGGATGAAAGATTGTAAAAGAAGTGAAAAAGAGTCAAATTTGGAACAAAAATGAAGAAAGGTGCGAAAATGAACTGGGTTAGGCGCCCAGGACTCATGCTTAAGCGCCAGGTACCCCGCGCTTAAGCGCCAGAAGTAGTTATTTGATGATTCATTGAATTTAGATGAATTTTTGATGTGGTGATTGAAGCAACCCTTGGTAAAAACGTGGGAAATATCCCATGGACACGAAAATTCATTCAATTGGTTTTTGATGAGACAACTTCTAGAAGATTCATTGAATTGAGACACCATTTTGAAGAGACACCAAGGCACCCCTTGGATTTTTATAATAAAAACTTAGATTTTCCAAGAGAAGAGGCCAACCACCCATTAGATTTTATGGCCATCATCCATCCAAGTAACCGTCATCGCTGCCGCCCACTTTCTTTTTATTTTGAGTGTTAGTTTGTATTGTGAGTGAAGGAAGATAATTTAAAGGAACTTCAAGACATTTGTTGGAAAGGATTTGAGATAAGTGTTTATCTTTGTGACTACACTTGGTTTTAATCTAGATTTTTTATTTGTGTGTATGATTTTTACTTGTAAACTCATGTGTGGTTGTGTTTTCTCCATGGTTTCTAAGCAGTTTTCTTTATCTTTTCCTTAAAATGATAAGTGATTAAGTGTTTAAAGGATGTTGTGTGAAGTATTAGACTTTGATGTTGGAAGAAGTGATGATTTGAAACCTTGCACTTAATTTACATCTTGATTTAGCAAACTAATATGTTAATACCATTTGTGAGAACATGTAAGATCCGATATGGTATTTTCTCAGTCAAAAAAATGGTTAGAATCACATATTGATTTCATGAATGAGAATATAATTTATGGGGTTGAGTGTAAATAAATAGGGAAATAAACTTTTTAAGGGTGTAGAATTAGAGAACCTTAGAGTGACAGTCCAAAGCCCCCAATTTGATTTGTAGTTTTTAATTTTGATACGAGATGTTAGCCCCCAAATGGAGGGAGAAGAGGGAAATCTAGACTGAGAGCTGGTATCTTCCCTACCTAATCGGTCTTCAAGACTATTCAAACTATAGATTAGCCAATGTTCATTATAACATCTCTAGTAAGGGTAACTCTAGTACATCTCTAGTAAGGGTAAATAATATAATTGCTCCTATTTGGCACAACACATTTAACATACTTCCACAAAAAAAATTTTATGCTTATTACTGGGAAAAAGATAATTTATTTATATAGCCTTCATCTTGAAAATATTTAGTTAAGTTAATTAGTTGTTTACTTTAATTTCATAAATCCAAAAATTACAAAAAAAAAGAATTGAATTTTTATTCCTTATATAATATCTTAATTTTTGTAATATGAAATTTCTAAATTTCTAAAGTGCATATTGCGATTCTCCCTATGAGTTCGATATTCAGGGCTTATTCAAAAAGTTCTATATTACTTAATAACGATACATATACTTGCGTAGTATCCCATATCTAAATATTATAATTGTATTCTTATTTGTTTCATAGTGGAAAACTTACCTAGCTTTTGCTTTGGATCAAGTTTTTGACTTTGTTGTAAATTAAAAATAACTATTAAAGAAATTAAGCATATAATTGCATACATCACATTTTATATCTATATAGTAAGTCAGGATCAGTGATCACTACAACTAGTAGTCTATTCAACCACATAAGGGACAACTCCCTCGGTGTGATGAAAAAGTGGCGACACTGCAAATCATCGTTGATTCGTAATAAGTAGAAGGTCCACTTGAAGGAGGCAATATGGTCTGTCGTATCAGTCAGACCTTTTTAAAATTATAGTGATGATATCATGAACTTTTTGGGCGGTTCAAGAACTGAAATCTACCAAGAGAGCACATTCTCTGGATGGCAGTGAAAGGAGGTCTCAATGTAATTTATCCACCATCTGTCCATCAATGCCGACTCGACACTGTCCTAGTACTAGGAATATTTTAATATTTCTTTAAGCCACCGCCTCTCGGATGGCCTCCAACATCTAGTCCATCGTCTGGATCTCAAGTCTTGGGTCTATTCCTACACTAACTTCCTAGTGCACTCCATGTTTATGTTGTCTCTTTGATGGGCTTCTTCACCTTATAGTGTTCCTCTTCTTATTTCCGATATGATCCACTCTTATCACACCTTCTAGGATGTTGAGTATGAATATTTCTTGTAAATCACGACAAAGGATAGAGCATTGAACTACAGAGTGAAAGAGAGAGACAAAGAGAGAGAGAGAGAGAGAGAGAGAGAGAGAGAGAGAGAGAAGTAAAATTTTGGTTCTTTGACAATTAACTTATAAGTCTTTTACTGCATAAATGACCACCCTATTTATTCGCAATGAAGTATAAAAGTGTACAATTGCAAGTTTTCCCTTGATTTTACGTGGTCATTACAAGATATTTTAAGTATATAAAATAAATGAGCCTATGACTCCACCACTCTATCATTTTACCAGCTAAGACCGGTAGTTCATGGATCGATAAGGCACGTTATGCCGACTATTGAATTTGGGCAATCAGTTGAATCTAGTTGACCTTCAATCGCTCAGGCTTCGCTCTCCCAACTTCAGTCAACCGGTTGTCCTGTTTTGTCCGGCTGTCGACTGTCCAACCCTTTGATGAGGAGCCCTTGTTGTCTGGATGAGTTTATGCTGTTAGGCGAAGGGTAGATTTTTGTAATCCAATAGGTTGCTCACCTCTTGACAGAAGGTCGGTATTCACGGGGGTGTATCGTGGTGAGAACCATCAAACTCTTATCTGGGAGGCTCTTGTAAGGCGGCTGGTGATGTTGTGGTGAGAGTTAGGTTGTTGCATTCTCTCAGTTTGATAGATCAAATCCTTGACTCGAGCTGCCCTTGTTCGACTGGTTTCTAGTCCCGACCAAAAGGAGTTGCAGTTGGTCAGTATTGTCATTTAATCTTCTAGGGACACGACCTTTGATCTTGCTTCTGTGGGCCATTATTGGTCACAATATTTGTCTTTTTGTCCGTTGAATTTTTTCAAAATTTCTGCTAATGCATTTCTGACATGCAAACTTATTTTCTCAAATTATCATTTCAAACATGGCAATCAAATGATCCCTTATCAAATAAAGTCATGATTGCTCTCGTACTCATAAAATATTTTTTACAAAAAAAAAATATATATATATATATTTATTTTGAATTTTCTCAGATATATTTTAATCCACCCACATATGCTTCTCTGTGCTCCGTTTAGAACTCAATAATTTGCTAACAAAATTAATTTTACCTAAATCATATATATGGTTTTAAATAGAAGTATAGAACTGAACATATTATAAAAGAAATAGGCAGTTTGAAAAAACACGAAACATTTATTTCAATAAGAAATAGACATAACCGAGTTCACATATAATATTATAGTTCCTCTTTTTCCATCATAATTAAATGTACTAATATATATCGTTATTTATGGCTTCAAAAAAATTTAAACTCTTTTGATTATATATGCCATCAACATTTTAAATTGAATAAGACTAATTGAATAAGATTATAATTATGATTTTATGGGGAAAAACTTTATTAATACCTGGATTTTTAATGGTTTTTTAATCAATTGAAGTACTTACGAAATGAAAAGTATAAATAAAATTAAAATTTAATCAATTTATACTCTTAAAATTCTCTTTTTGTTCTATAATATTTTATGAATATCTAAATAAATTGCCATAAATTTGGCAAAACTCGATTCACAAATAATGGTGATGTCGATGTTTAAAAATTAAGAGCATATAATAATTTAGGAGAAAAATCAATCATATAAAGGATAGTGAACGAAGGAATATATTTAAGCTTTAAGAAAAAGGTCGCGCTGCTCACTTATGTACAGATGTCACTAATCCGTTTGTAATTTCCCCTTCCAAATTAAACAGTCCACCAAATTTTAATCAGGAACAATCCGTAATCTCCGTTTAATTCTTTTTTTAAAAGCCCCAGTTGGACTCGTTCCTCGTTTGAAATTATGCATGTATTCCAGTCATGAAGGAAATCACTTGGGCAATCGCTCGCCTAAGAATGTTTTTAAAATAATCTTAATTTTAAGTAATACAGCGAAAAATTAATAACTTAATTCATAAATAAATTTTAAATTCAGAAGATTTAAAAATTTAACCCATATATTAAAAATTTAAATCATAGCATCTGTATTAACAATAATATTAAATATTTAATGTTCAATAAGAAAAAAAACCATGTTCTGATCATAAGTTATTTTAGAGCCCTGAAGTTATTATGAGATGTATTTATGTAATTATTTGATTTATTTTGAGACTAGTAGAATAAAAAACTTTAATTGATTGATTAGATATTATATTCTTTAAAAAACACATTTAATGAATATGAAATATTTTTATATTTTGATATAAATTTTTTTCATAATCAGATAGCAAAGTTTTACCACAAAATGACATGCTGGTTATAGGTGGTTCTACAGTAAGTACCTATATTCTTACGTACATGAACTACGGAATTTCGAATATATCCCTTCGGCGTTGGCCCAATGCCACGTGGACAGCAGAGTTTCAGTGCACTCGGGAACGACGAGCTACGTGCATCATATATAGCAGGAACGAGCCCAGAAATTCCACATGTGCCATTCCTTCCAATGCTATTTCTATAGAGTGAGGAGAAGAAGAAGAAAAAGGAGGAAATGGAAAGAAACGGATCGGAGCTTGACTTGCCGGGATTCCGGTTCCACCCAACCGAGGAAGAGCTACTGGAGTTTTATCTCCGGCGAGCTGCCTGCGGGAAGAAGCTTAACTTCGACATTATTGGAACACTCAATCTTTACCTTTATGATCCCTGGGACCTTCCTGGTATAAATATACATATCTTTCATCCTCTTCGATAAATTTAAATCAATATTATTTTTCGCCGGTTTGTTTGTAATTGGAAGGTTAATTTGGATTAATTTCAGCTATGGCAAAGATAGGCGAGAGAGAGTGGTACTTCTTTGTGCCAAGAGACCGGCGGCATTCAAATGGGGGCCGGCCGAACCGAACGACGGAACGAGGGTTCTGGAAGGCCACCGGTTCGGACCGTCCCATACGCAGCGTTGTCGATCCCCGCCGTCTTATTGGACTCAAGAAGACCCTCGTCTATTATTGCGGCCGCGCTCCTCGTGGAAACAAGACTGATTGGGTCATGAATGAATATCGTCTCCCTTCATTTCCCAACCAATCCTCCACCTCGAATTCTTTCAAGGTACAAATACAATTCCATGTTGCGATTTTTAGGCGGAGACAAAATCAACATGTTGCCTTTAATTTAGATTTTCTATTTTCATTATAGGAAGATATAGTACTATGCAAGGTCTATAGAAAAGCGGCGTCGCTGAAGGAGCTAGAGCACAGGGCGGCTATGGAAGAGGATAGCCGGGCTTCACATGGAGGCACGATGTCGGCAACCTCTTCTGAACAGGATGATGTTCAGAGGTTGGGCTACGATGAAGTTATTATGGAAATGAAAGAGGAGTTTGAGATAAATATCCCAACTGATCAATTTTCCTCATCCACGGAAGATCAATTTCGATCGCCGACGTTGCCATTACTCGATTCATCACAGGCCTATCGATCGCTTCCAATTGGATTCGAGTCAACAACAAAAGTTCAAGGACAGCCGAATCTGTTGTCTAAGACTCCGGTGAACCGACAGGCACCGAAGCTGCCGGCGCTTCAAGTTCCCAACCACACAAGCTTTGATTGGGTGCAAGACCCGTTCCTGAGCCAGTTAAGGAGTCCATGGCTTGACCAGTGGTCTCCTCTATATGCCAATTTGCTTAACTTGTGAACTTTGGAGGGCGACTTTTTGTCTATGTGATTGAAGATTGATTAATCAATGACAGCCGTCCGATCAGTGGAGTCTTTGTGAATTCTTTAATAGCTGTTCATTGTTGGGTGGAAAGGAACTGTGGGTTTTTTATTTTTATTTTTGCAAAAGGCTGGCCGAGTAATATTAACAAAGTATAAAACTGCTAATAGAATCAAATTATTTGGAAAATTAGTATTCTTTTCTTTTGCTTAATCTGTACAATTCACCCCAAAGAAGTGAGCAATTGCATAATATCCACCATCTACCCGTTGCCAAAAAGTTTAAATGACGCAATTAATTAATTATCTTACTTACCACATTTAGGATCTGTATGAAGATTAAATTCAAACTTTAATTCACTATTAAAATTAATTTTTGAATTAAGTTATTCATATATAGGTAGTAGATTGGAAGATTATTGAGATTTAATCATTTGTATTAATTTTTTTGCAGAATGTATTCATTAATTAATGCTAGATAATACCAAAATAATAAAGAACACCAATTGATAATTTTCTTTTGAATAATGTAAGTTTTAATGATAAGAGATATTTTTTATTCTGATAAACATTATAAATTAAATTAAATATTTTAATACTAAGCATAGAAATATGCATAATACATAATTCATATTATATATTGTGCGGGACTGATTCTCTATTTTTATATATGATGGGCCATAAGGTTGCGAGAAAAAGGTGTGCAATATAAATTTTGATGAAGAAATAATCTTTATTAAAATTATAATTTTTTTTTATTTAATGTAATAAAAATTTCTGAGCAAAATAGAAATCTTGATACTCTCAATGATTTTTAAATTCAAAGCTTAAGTCGACTGTTCGAGTAAACTAACCAGTGCAAAAGAAAGTTAAAATGGTGTGATCAATTCTAAATCAATCATATTATTTAAAGTCATGAAAACTTCAATTGGACAAAAAAAGGCCATCATTGAAAGTTAAAGCACAATTGAGATTTAGTGTGTTCTAAAATATAGTTATTTGCAAGCCATTCATCCCCAAAGCCCCATCTCCCTTTGAGAAACAAATCTCTATAGTTATTTTGTATCGTTAATTATCGTTATTCCCAAAAGCAGATTTAAAGGGGGATGGGGGGTGGAGATATGCTTTTATGTTTCATAATTTTTTTGTTTGTACAAATAGTTGTACATAAAAAGTCTGACTACACAAATCCCAAGTAATTTCAATTGATTCTTAAAGAGGATATCAAAAAATCACATTATCAAAGTCAAAGGATCAAACAATTGACCATCGCTTCACTCAGTCGGATTATGACCAACTTAATGAAAGATCATCTGAACTAAGGAATACCACACACTTGACCTAATGACAACTCAACCAATTCTAGGTCACTCGTAGAGAAGATCAACAGTCTGTTGGCAGAGCTAGTCAAATCTCTAGGAAGACCTTTTGCCCGAAGAAGGGCTGCCCATTTGATTACTATGACTCACCCTCTATCTAAGGGAATAAACCTTTCCTATGGATAAGGAGGTCTTCAGTAAGATTTGTATCAGCAGGGCCGATTGAAGATCCACCAATCGATCAAGGAACTTCTAACTGACCGAACGATGATCACACGATCAAGATTGAATAATTACAAGTTTGAATCAGTGCCACTTGCAATTATTATTACGAAGCGGTTTAAACAGTAGTTTTCAAGGTCAAAAGATATCTTCGATTGTTACAAATATGTAAATATGTAATGACTCATAAATCATTTGTAACTTTTATATTTAATAGGGAACAAATATATAATTAGGGACCTTACCCAATGATCTACAAATAGGGGAGCCATTTCCTCAAAATAGACTATTGGGTCAGTTCCAATCGAACGTATACTATTGTGTGTTTCCTACACTCTCTCTTTCTCTCTCTTTCTCTATTTACTCCTCTCAATTCCTATCATCCTTCCAATGTTCTATTTTTTAGGCGTGACCTAAAGGATATTTTTTGATTCAACATCCTAAAAGCTGCGGTGAGCTTGGAGTCATGCTTTCAAGAAGAAGAGGAGCATGCTACAGAGAAGGAATACACTAAGGGATTCGACTCTTAGATGGCTTAATGGACTCATGTTTTGAACTATTACTTCTTTCGGAGAGTTCAAGAAGTTATTTGTAGCAAAGTTCGCTAGCACACAAAATATCCATAAGGATTCACATCGTTGTGGCACGTCAAGCATGGTACAAAAGAGAGCCTTTGGGTGTATGTTACACGATTCTAGAAGATGAAGCTGGAGGTATTGCTGGCGCCAAAAAATGTTTGTCACCGTCGTTGTTTTGATGTTCTGGATGGTCGGTGTCGTCAGTTCTCACTTTATCGTCGTTGTTATAGAGTCGCCAGTTTGTTACCTGTTATACTACCTTCTGCTGGACTAATCTTCACCATTAAGATTAAAGGATCAGGGTAAATGATTACAAGAACAAATATATGTGGAGACTTCCATGAGGATAAAAACCTTCATCTTTAAAATATATGTTGGAAATACTTTAAAGATATGATTGCAGATGAATCGTTATGAAAATTGATTAATATGAAAATTGGATTTATTCTAGAGTTCTCTTCTTCCTATAAGAGCAAGCCCCTATAGTTAATTATATCATAAATGGTAAAAACTATTTTAGAAGAACCTGAATTAAGTTTAAAAAATTCTCAATAAAATTTAACTTTGTAGGTAATAGATTCTTAAAGATTCTAACTATCATATAAGTCGATATTCAGTTGGAGTTCATCCTTCCTTCCCACTTTTCTGTACTTCTCTCTGTAAATTATATATCAATGATCCTTTGGAATAAAACTTCAAAGGAAAGTTACTATAGATTTATATTTTGGTTTATATATTAGTTTGTTGAATTTTTAATTATTAGACAACCTACTCGAGATGTCAATTGTTCCATCATCCTGAGGTTGTCAGGGTATTCAGATCTACTTAGTCTGAATGGTGACTAAACCAGGGCCGAAAGAATCTTGTCAGCAACCACAAATTGCGTCGTCAAAGAGATCTTCGTAGATCTAAATATTGGGGTTCAAGTTGTGTTTGATGTTCTTTGTTCATTAAGGTTCAATGTAAGTTTTAATATCTTATTCAGATTTTAGGGGGCTTTGAAAATTTTAGGTTGGTCACAATTTATTAATCGATTAAATTTTTGACATTTTTGTTATTTATTTTTGTTTCGGATGATCTGATCAGGTTCACATGGTTCCGTCAACCTAGATCATTAAGTTTGCAGTTTGATTTGCCGTGAATGACTACAAGATATTTTGTTAGCAACTATGGGTTACCTCCAAAATAACTTCTCAAACGTCATTGCATTTTTGGGTTTAAGTTTAAATTTTAGTGTCTTTTAGAGTAGATTTTGATTTCTTAGCCTAAAGTTATCCTTGATTGAGGTAAATGTTCTTCATTTCTCATTTTGAGAAATGAATCCCAATTTAACCTTCAAATACTTGGCTTAAGATTTTATCTTTAGAATAATTCATTTTAAGTTCAATAAATCTAAGGAAAGATTTTTATGTAATCCAATTTTCACCCTCAAGTTCTACTGAACTTACATGAGTTTAATAAGATTGACCCAAACTAATTTAGGTTACTTTGGATAAATTCAAGTTCAAACAACATAGGTGAAAATTTAATTTAAACTTAAAATTTCCTTAAATTTGAATCAGATTTAAATAAACTCTACACTCAAAGTTCATTTTTAACTCATAATGTTCATTATGGGTAACTAGAGTTCTTCCAAATGATCTAATTGAACTGAAGTTATGTTTGGTTAACTTTGAAGTAAATTAAAAAGGATTTTGATTTTTCTAGCCCAAACTAGGTTACATCTAGATTAGATCTCAAGTTAGATTGGACTAAAAAGTTGATGTTGACTTTTGAGTTGAGTTTAACTCTAAATTCAACTAGAGTTCATATGGATAAGACTTAATGTTCTTAGACTCAATATCAGTTGAATCTAAAATCAATTATGTCTAACATAGAATGGGTTTTAAGTTAAGTCAAAGGGAAATTAGACTTAAAAACTTAATTTTAATCAAATCTAATTTAATTAAGACTTGATTAAATAATTAGGTCTATTGTTTGTAAGACCTAATTATCTGTGAATTTTACTAAGTCTAATGTGATTAAACCATAGTTACTTCATAAGGTTTAATTTGAATTAAACCTCATGTGCACTTGAAATTAAACTTAGGTTCAATATGAATTGATCATATATTTTAAGGTTCAAGTTTAAGTTCAAATTTAAGTTGTATTTAGATTGAACTTAACGGTTAAAACTAATTCTAAGTTATTTTAGACTTAGATTTAAGTTCAATTTGAACTTAGAGAGAAATGAATTAAGTCTAATTTAATTTAGACATAGGAATTAGATTAAACTCAATTTAGTTTGGGTTTCGACGTAGGTTTAATATGGGTTTGAACCCAATGGTCAGATGATTTATGTTTGATTTAGGTTAGACTTAAAGGATTGGACAAGGCCCAATTTTGTTTGTTCTTAGACTAAGTTTCAATTTAGGTTTGAACCTAAGGGTTGGATTAGTTCAAGTTAGGTTCATTTTTGTTGAATCTAAGGTTTAGGGTAAGTTTAATGCAGGTTAGACTTAAAATTTTAATTATAGGTTAGGGTTAAGTCTAATGTGGATTTAGACATAACGTTAGGTTTAATTTAGGTTAAACTTAAGTTTTAGGGTAAATTCTAATGTGGGTTTAGACTTAACATTAGGTTTAGGGTTAAGCTTAATGTGGTTTAAACATAACACTAGGTTTAATTTTGGTTAAACCTAATGTTTAGGGTTGAGTTTAATGTCAGTTAGACTTACCACTGAGTTTAATTTAGGTGAAAGCTAATGTTTAAGGCTAAGTCTAGTGTTGGTTAGACTTAGCACTAGGTTTAATTTAGGTTAAAGCTAAAGTTTAGGGTTAAGTCTAATGTGGGTTTAGACTTACATTAGGTTTAATTTAGG